AGACTGTAAGTACGTTTTTTATATTTAAAGAATCTGCCACTGATTATTCAAACACAAGTTTTGAGCAGTGTAGAGTAGCACTTGTTGTTTGTCATTTCTCCGATCACAAATGCAGACATGGTTTTATGTTTACGCGGTGCGATGCAACGCGTAAAAAGACAGTATAAGTCATTATAATCCGTAATTATGTCCCCACTGGATGCAACAAATGCCTCGTTTATAATGGGTTTTAATGTTTTTGTCTCATTGCTCTGGCCGGACAGGGCATCACAGTAGGGTAAGGGGCGTAACATTTCCGTCACATGTTTGATGGATTCGGCCAATCACAATGCACTGGATAGCTGGCCAATCAGAGCACACCTCGCTTTTCAGACCGATGAGCTTTGTAAAAATCGACACGTTTCAGAAAGGCGGGGCATAGAGGAGAAACAATAATGTACAGTATGTGGAAAATAATGTGTTTTTTTAACCTTAAACTGCATAAACACATTGCATTACACCAAATACACAAAATAATGTACTTTTTAACAACATCATATGACACCTTTAAGAAATTTTGGTAGAAACATTTGAGATAAAGTTGAAACTTTAACAAAGCGTAACTGAGATCCTGATTATGTCTCATGAGCTTATGAAAGAACAACCTCTGAATAACAAAAAATCCTTTGGGGGGTCTTAGGACATAAAACTTTCACTTTTCAATTTCCTCTACCCGCTCTATTTCCCTGTCACGTCTTCACCTGTGCTGATGAGTTTATTAACTACGTCAGTGGAACAAATTCTAAAACTATTACCTGTACGCATGTGTGTCTGTCCTGTTACCTGCAGGATGTGTTGGCATTCTCCACAGTTATATTTGCATTTAATGTTCTAATCATTATCTATTCCAATTGCAGCGAAGAGGGATTTAGCAACTGCTGAGAGCAGAGATAACATTGACTTTTAGATGCTTATGTGCATTTCACAGCAACATTTATGCACTTATAAGAACCGCAATACTAAATGCTGTTGACTGCAGTGTCTCTGCACAACTGCCAAATCCTCCAACACTCTGCCACATTCTTTGTTTGACTGTCAGCTCGTGCGTGTGTTAATGTTCACACTCGTACACAATACAGTGCAAAGTGAATCTGTAACTAATTCATACAGCAGCTTATGTTAATATTTAAGTGATCACCAAACAATTTCAAAATATACCACATACCGCAAGCTTGAATTTTATTTCTGCCACATATGCGAACAATAAACTGAAAACTTTGATCACAGCTGCATTTCATGTACAAATTAAGAGAATGTTTTCTATGCACGACTTTCATTATTGAAAATGGTTCTGAAAGGTTGACGGTGAAAATGCATGGGAGCACTATGTCAAAATAAATTCTCTTCGCGCCTTCCCTTTTTCGCCTCGAGCTGAAAGTTAAGATTTCCTTCCAAAGAGCAGTTCTAAGGAGTGTGGTTCGTTGTCCTCCCTTCCCAAAACAGTTCTGTGGAAAAGATTTAACAAGCAGCTTACTGCTGGGGGAAGGGATTGGGAAAAGAGGGGGGCCCCTCAGGGTCACCAAGATGTGAGGGCCTCTCACATGTATACACACACAAGAGATCCAAAACGCTTTATTGGTGCGTTAAAAAGTGTTGCAAAAGCATTAATAATATTATATACATATCTTTATATGTAAAAATATATACATACACACATGCAGACAATAAAGGTCTCACACTCTGGCAGGAGAAAGAAAAAACAGCCGAGCAAGGGAAAGCAGCCAAAAACCACATCTACTAGCGCTGGAGTGGATAGAGGGAGTAGAGAGAAAGAGAGAGGGAGAGGGATAGAGAGACGGAATGGGGAGGGACCAGTTTCTAGGCTATTGGCTGTGGTTGGCTCTGCTGATGGAAGGACTCGGATGGATCGAGTTACACCATTTGCCGTGCATTAGTTTGTTTTTCCCCGCTCGGAACGCAGAGAGACACTTCAAGCTTGACTCAAGAGTTGTTGCGATCCAAATCGCGTAAAGAGAATCACGGATTCAGATGAGAAAATGCAGCGTTACGAACGTTTGAGCCGGTAAAAAAAAATGGGGAAAAGGAAAAGAAACGAAAAGAAAAAGATTTCCAAAACATCAGAAGTGCTCTAGTTCTATTTGTGCAGCGCAAAAAAAAAAAAAAAGAACTGGAGCTATTTTTATTCACCCTGTTACCCGTTCACATCGATTCGGATTGTTTATAAGCGGAGTGACGCACGCGCTTAAAGTTCTTCATTCTGAAGAGTAGAGCTCGAATTAATTACTTAGTTGGCTTTAGGCTATTTGGTTTGGGTTGTATTGGTATGGTTTGGTGAATGACGGGGGGGTGGTACTAGAGGAGAGGGAGGGTCTTGGTGCCATTTGATCGGTGAGCTTTTGAAGATCACAAAGCTTTATCCCGAGGACGAGCTGGACGAGCCCCACGGGCTCCAGGAATTGTTTTGCGTGGTTCGGATAAAGCAAACACATGAGGATCTTTTGGCTTTATGGACCGACCTGCACACATGCTTTCTGATCTTCACTGGATTTAATAGCGTAAAACACTTTGGAATATAACGCGGAGGGTGTCATAGTCTACATGCTCGTTTGGAGAACGTTCAGGTAGGATTTCTGTTGTCCTTCTCACACTTTGTTGTCACACATATTTTGGAGTAAATGGAGTATATTGCTGTACCACAACTTTTTTTTCTTCAGCATTTAGACCGTTAATTCAAGAAGGCTGGAAGCGCTTGGATAAAAGTAACTGATTGTATTTGGGAAAATGAGAATGAGAAAATGAAAACAGTGCCACACATACCCTGTTGATACAGTGCGTTTATTCGATTAAAGGGAAAAATGCATTTCTTTTTAAATATAGTGTTTGTATTATGTTTGTTTTTGATAGCCTATTATCATAATATAAATGAAAAATATAAATGAGCCTACAAAAACGGGATTTAAACAACTCGGTGTGAGAAAACACACAGCTGAAACAGAAGCTGATTCAGGCGTTTGATTCCTCGAATGTATCGTTTCTATTCTTGCATATAATAAACGGGATAGATGGCACAAGGGTCAGAAATTAACCCGACTTAGGCTAAAATGCCACAGATATTCATAATATGGGGGCAACATGCTGTTCCAGTGAATTCCCATGTTTGTACCTAACAATTGAAAGGTAAATAATAGAAATACTTGTATTCATACACTTTAGTGTCACTTTCAATTAGTTAATTCATTTGAAATAGCCTATTTGGCATTGGGCGGCATGATTGTGTTTTAAATTAGAAAAATTATAATAATAAAATAAAAAATAGCCCTACTAAAGGTCATAAATGCCCCTGAAAATCAATGCCAGTTAATTTCTGACATTGGTTGGAACAGATATATATCCATAATGCACTTCAGACCCCTCCTGTCCCGTAATGATGAGGGATGAGGGAGCCAAGTTCGCATAGTAGTAGGCTACAACGAGGAAGATTTAGAGCCTTAGATTCATCTTACCTTTGCCTGGGAGTTGCATCATCACAATTCAAACTGATAGGATCTCTTGAGGAACAAAACAATAATAATATCTCTACTGCCTGTAGCCTATACAGAATATGGTCCGAGGTAGAGGGAGAGAAATAGGCTAGTGTTGCTGTTGTTGTGTAAAGTGGGTTTTGGAGACCACGGTCATGCATTAACACAATCAATTTCCCAGCAGAAGCCATTACCGACCCAACACTCCTCTGTTGTCTTTATGCATTTACTGCAACTCAAGAGATTGGTCACGGCTCGGCTCCAGCTTGAACGCTTTGATTCACATGCTCTGTTCAGACTGAGACGGGGTTCAGGTCCGGTTCCGAGTGGAGAAGGTTTAGTTTGAAGATGCTTTATGCTGTTCATCTGGGATGAATCGGTCATAGATAAACTGTTGAGTAACATCTGAGATGCGCTGTGCCCACGCACGTAGCAAATAAAAATAAATAAGTTTTTATATGAGTGGCAACCGTCAGAAGAATGAATGAACTGAGTGAATGAGTCGTTAGAACGAAGAGATTGCACAAGTATCTCGTTTTGTTCTGTGTAAGCGTGTTGAGGCAAAATGCTACTGAGGCAAATGTTGAGTGCAAAACAGGAAGTAGGGGGAGACTGAAGATTGAGATTAAATTTTTTTTTTTTGCGATGTCTCATAACTTCATAGATTTGAGTGGGTTGTAAGATTAACAGAAAACATAAGTTTAAATTCTGTACATCTGTTGTACATCAAACTAAATTTTATTTCAAAACAATTGTTATGCCATAACCTCAATCCACCCATTTTATTTTAAACATGGTAATTTACAACGGTAAACAAACATTTAAGCAATTAAAATATTTTAATTCAAAACCAGCAAGCAAAACATTTTAGAACAAATGCATAAAACATAAGCTAACAACTAAAACATCAGCTAAAAACAAAAACATGGCTTGAGTGTATGTTTGTGCTGAGCTTTTGTAGATTGTGAGAACCGCTTGTCCTCACAAGGACAGTAAAACCTGAAATCACCTACATCGTGCGAAGCAGCCAACGTTCCCCATGAGGAAAACAGCTTAATAAACAAACTAAATAATGTCTTAATTAAAAAGCAAGAAAGCAGTTTTGTGAGGGTTGGGTTTAGGGGTCAGGGAGAAAAAATTTAATTTGCTTAGTATAAAACCAAGTCAATATCAAAGGAAAATCTCCACATTTAAAAAAAAAAGGCTTGTGTGGATGTACTGTATATCAAATTAATTAGTCTTACAACTTCTACTGTGACCTCAGAAGGGTGCTGTTCATGTATGATAGTTCACCCCGTAGCTCATTTTTAATTGGTACAACACTCCCTGCTCTTTTCTAACCATTTCTTGCTGTTTGACCATATGGAAGTTAATGAGATGTGCTGTTTTCCCAATGTATGCTTTTGTTTATTTGTCCTACATGAATGTGTGACACTGAGTTTAAAAGATTAATCTCTTAAAAATACTATAAATGCAAACCACAAGAGTGCACGGACCCCCTGCATTTCCTCTTATCTCTGCTGAACCTGTCAACCCTCTTTCAGAGAGCGCCAGATAACATCTACCTCTCCTGAAACTTCACCATGAAGCAGCTTCAGCACTTTTCATGTGGGTGTGTGAATAAAGTCAGTCACAACAGCTGGCCACATTGTGTCCACTAAGCCCACGCCAGTCCTGTTGTCTTGTGTTCAGCCTCGGTCAGGCTTGAGTAACTGATTTAACCTTTAAAGCATGGAGGTCTCTTCACTGGCCGGGATTGAACGGACCTCGAGCTCCCTATTGTTCCTTAACACACACACACCTGCAGGAGATGACTTTGGGAGAGTGGGGGTGGGGAGTAAGGCTGCACAGGTGGGGTGGTGACCCGTTTTACAGCTGTGGATTAACAAGTTGTGACTCCTCAGCTGTAATCCCACTGTAAACAACTGTGATTTCAGTGCTCTTGTGTGGGAGAGCTCTAATCTCAGCGTGAGTCTCTCTGAAACCACACACATCACAACTGTTGAGTTGTGAAAACAGATACGAGGGCCCATTTTTCAAGATCATTTTACAGTTTTAGTGGGCAGTATGACCAAAATCATCTCAGGTTACTTATGTAACCATGGTTCCCTGAGTAGGGAACGAGACACTGCGTCCTCTAG